CCTAGATACCTGCCTAGAGCTTCCAGTGTCCCTTTGCCATCTTTTTAAACAAAAAAGAGGGGAATCTGTAGTAAATCTGACATTCTCTCTAACTGATGCCACCATAAGCTGTTCAGCGCCCACCAAGCACACCAGCGCTTGGACCCAAGCCGAAGCCACCAGAGCCTCCCAAGAACATTCAAGGTAAGGCCATGCCCATCCCCAAGAACAGGTCTCTCTCTGCCTGTGCCCGGAGGCCAGGACAACCCATGTGTCCTCGGCATGACCCACCATCATACAATCTGCTCTCCTACCCAGAGGGTCCACCCCAGCTCAGTTCTGCTCATCCATCCCCATGGAGATCTTTTTGGAGGTGTGTTTGGGGCTGGGATGGCTGTAGGGGTCTCCCTGGGGTCCAGGAGAATCCACGGGCACCTCTGCTGCTTTGGGAAGGGGTTTCTTGCCATGTGGCGAGGGGCATGCACCTTCCCCCAGCCAAGATTAATGGGTGAGATTAATTGGGCTGATCAATTGCACTGGCCCAACTGGGCCAAGCCTCCATAGCAGATCACCCTGCTCCCAACCCTCTGCAGCGCCTCCTCACAGCCATGGCCCTCTCCTCATCAGAAATGGGCACAACCATGGGAGCTTCTCCACAGGGATATGGCCCCCAGGGCCACCTACAGCACCTACTGCAGAGATGTGAGGCTTTGGGCACCCTGGGGACCCATGGAGTTGTTCCTTCCACTCTGGGCTGCCCCACTCCCCTCATGGCAGGGACAACAGGTCCCAGAGCCCCCATACTGTGCCAAGGTGCTGCTGAGCGCCCATGAGGGAAGGCCACCATGTTCCCTGCTCAGCCATCATGCCAGGGAAAGGAGGAGGCTGTGGTGGCAGAACAGGGCCTGGGCACCATGGTGGCCTGTCATGGCCGTGGAGGCTGGAGAGTCTATGTTGGTGAATGAGGGACTGGACATGGTGCTGGACCACCATGGGACCAGGGGAAGCCATGGAGACCTGAGGAGGCCCTCACGCCACAGCACTCTCACAGATGGCATCAGAGGCAGAAGTGGGCTGGCTCTGACCATGGCTGAGCCCTGGGGGCAGGGAGCACGGCCACCTCCTGCCTTTGCTGTCACTGTGGGATGGAGCTGGCAATGCCCACCCAGCACATCTCTGAGCACTGCAGCACAATGCAAGGGCTGGCACGCCACAAAAAAACAGTGTCACCTGTTCCTAAACACCCTGTGGGGTTCAGCACTGCTCAACCTTGCCCCTTACTGGGCTTACCAAAGCACCAAACCCCCCGAGCACCAAACCCCATCAGCTCAATTTGGCAATGATGGCCTTTACCCTCAGTGCTCTGGTCACTGGGCGCTGGACGGGGCTCTGGCTGGTGGCATGGCCCCAAGGAAGCACCATCCCAGACGGGGCAGCCCCTTACCCCGGGGTGTTATCCCAGCCCAGCCACGCTGCGGTGGGCCCTGGGAGCCCTCTCCCCACGCTCACATATGTTTTATCATCTCATGTAGCGGCTCCGAAGAGCAAAGCAGGGCACACAGCACACTCTGCAGGCAAGAGGCACGGGAAGAAGCCAGGTACGTGCTGCTGGGGACGAGCCAGGCTGGAGTTCTGCAGGACCCTGTAGCAAGCCCTGACAGATACCACCTCCATAGCGTTTGTCCTCCTAGCCACTTTTTGGGTGCCAGTTGGCATGGCCTCCAATGAGGCCATGGCCAGTAGATGTTTGTAAGCTGTTTAGACTTGTAGATCTTTATCCTGAATGACCTGATTCACACCACTGAACGTGCAAGTAGCTGCTCAGCCCCCAGGTCTGCACATTGCAATAGTGTGGTGCATTGAGTCTTTCATGCATCAAACGTTGAGGAGGGGAGAAGAAGAGGAGAAATTTAGCAGCTACCAGCTGTCTGGTGCAGAAATAGATGCCGGCGCTGCCAGAGCGGTGTTCTTGGCTCGGCTTGGCATTGTTCTCGTAGCAGAGCTGCGGTAGGGTAGGACGCGGAGCGGTGCTAAGCGGCGAGAAAAAGCATGTCTCTGATTTTTCTTAAGCATCCTCAAAGAGCTCAAAACTCATCCGGCTCAAACCAGACTCTGGCCCGGTGGCTCCTATTGAAACATATAAAGGTAAGAGGAGGGAGCGCAGTGCTCCGGGGCTCCTTGTCTTCGCCCAGGTGATGTGGTCCAGCCGGCTCTGACATGGTGAAGATGGGGAGGGTTTGCTATCCGAGTCATGGTTAGCTGTATGTAGGAATGCACCCCTAGGGTGAAACAACGCTTGGGAATTGCAGCAACCAGAACTACTTGAGCTGAAACTCTTTGGGTATTGGTCAAACAGGCAGAAGTTTTTTCACAGAAGGTCAACATTACAGCAGACTCTTAGTTCCTCCTGAGGCAGCTGTGAACCATGGGGAAACCTCTGCCCTGCTCCATCTCCCCTGCTCTTTGTTTCATTCACACAAGCCACCTCCTCCAGTCGCATGTGCATGCCAACCCACACCCTTCCCTCCCATCCCTCCACCATCCTTGAACGTTTAATGCTAGAGGAGCTTGGAACAAAACCCCAGCTCCAAGCCTCCCTCCTCCTCTCTGAAGGCTGGGGAAGCTCAGACCTGGCTGACACTGTTTCTGCTCACGTTATCCCCTGCCCGTGCTGGCTGGGACACCTCCTGCCCAGGACAGCTGGGCCACAAGGCAACCAGGGTACCTCCCCTCCTCCTGCTTTGTACTTACAAACTTCCAGAAAGATCCAGCACCCTGGATCTAACACTGCAAGGCAGTCACCATCCCAAGTCACAGCAACAAAAAGCAAACACAAAAAGCAGGTAATCAGGTTCCGCTGGCTACAAATTAAACCTAGCTGGCTACTTTCTAACACGTGCCCACAGCTGAGAGAGTTCAGCCCTGGGGACAGGAGCGGTGCCCAGCCAAGTGGAGGTGGCATCTCCCATCCCACCAGCAGCCTTTGCAGGCATCCCTGCGCTATGCCAGGCAGCCCTGGTTCAAATCCTCACACGCTTGTCCACATCTTTTGAAGGACCCCACAAGCCACATTTCCTTGCATAGACTCATCTTAAGCATTCAACCCAAGAGTCACCATACGTCACCACCATCACTGGTTTGGGAGGTACAACAACAAGAGGGATGCTGAGAAGGGGCTCTGAGGGGAAAAAGCCAGAGAGGCAGCGAGGTTTTACCTGGGCAAGCAGCAGCTTCAGCTCCACTTCAGCCTTGTCCAGGGCCTTCCCATCACTGGAGGCAGCAAGCGCTGCCGTGCCCTCTGCCAGCCCCATCCCTCTGCCAGGCCCTGGAGCACAGCCCCCAGCAGAGCCTTCACTGGGGTCTGCACGCCAGTCCATCTCCCTCGCAGGGTCTGCAGCCCCCCCAGAGCCAAACCCAGGGACCAGGCTGAGCTCTGCTCATTAAGAAGGCAGCTCTTTAATTAACACCTGGCTCCCCTCCACAGCCCACCACCTGCTCCTATGATTACACATTTCCTTAAAGAGACCATGTCCTGGGATAGCCAGGGGCTAGCTCCTGCCTGTCCTCACCCCAAGGGGACAGAGCCCCCTGACCCCGCTCTGCCCTCTGAGCAATGGCTTCCAGCCTGATCCCCCCATGGCAATGCAGAACAGCAGCCGCTGTGCGCACTCATCCTGCCCACCCCAAGCCCTGCGCTGGCAGTGGCCAGCGCGTTTCACCTGAGCAGGAGCCTCCTCCAAAGCAAGTGGCTCCTCTCATCCGCCCGGCGCAAGGGAGGGTGCTCCTGACCCAGCTCCCCAGCTCTCTCCTCCTCTCCGCAGACTGTGAGTGCTACGGCCACTCCAACCGCTGCAGCTACATCGACTTCCTCAACGTGGTGACCTGCGTCAGCTGCAAGCACAACACGAGGGGCCAGCACTGCCAGCACTGCCGCCTGGGCTTCTACCGCAACAGCTCGGCGGAGCTGGATGACGAGAATGTATGCATAGGTGAGCACGCCGGCGAAGTCGGGCAGCAGAGCCAGGATGTGGGATGGCTTGTGCAGGTCCTCGCTCCACGGGGCATCAGTTCTGCCCCTCTCTGGAGGGTGGTGTGTCCACCTGCATGGTCCCCAGGGACAGAAGCTGTTATGGTCTCTGCAGCCCGCCAAGGCTTCTCTTCCCTGAAAACGGAGCCCAAATAATATCTTTCCAACTTGATTCAGATGCATTGCTCTACCAGGAGCTGCTCAGCTCCAAAAAGGGGTGGTCTTTGCACCTGTGGCTGCCTGAACTGTTGGACCCTACCATGAAACCATGCCCTCCCAGCCCCTCGGTCTCTAACAGCCCTCCCGTAGAATGCAGCCAGCCTTTTCCAAAGGCCCAAACACCTCCCTCGGGGCATTAGCGGACACAAAGCCCCCGGGCAGGACAGGCACTAACAGCCCTGTCTTTGGCCAGAATGTAACTGCAACCAGATCGGCTCCATGCACGACCGCTGCAACGAGACCGGCTACTGTGAATGCAAAGAAGGCGCCACGGGGCCCAAGTGTGACGACTGCCTGCCCAACTACTACTGGAGACAGGGCTGCTTCCGTGAGTACCCGAGCCGGAGGGACAGAGGGAGGTGAGAGAAGGGCCTCGTCAAGGGGTGGATCTTCAGCACTGCCTGCTTAGATGCCCCCTGATGCTCAGGGTGTAGGGTGAGGAGACTCCAGCCATTCCTCCCAAATCCAAAACGACTTCATAGCTTTGCCCCTGGAGTTTGTAGCCCCCACTATGTTCCTCTGGCTTTGAGACTGCTCTAGCACTGTGAGGGTTAGATAATTTAACCCATAGAAGCTAGAGAATAAAGCTAAAAGTGTCCAGTTTCTGCTGCAGTCAAGGGGTTTGACATACCCCAGATTAACACCCACATCCTTCCCTCCCTCCCACCTCGTAGCCAACGTCTGCGATGACGAGCTCCTGCTCTGCCAGAACGGCGGCACCTGCTACCAGAACCAGCGCTGTGTCTGCCCCGTGGGCTTCAAGGGGGTCCTGTGCCAGCAATCCAGGTGCGAAGCCGACAAAAAGGACTGCGACGGTGCCCCCAGCGCGCACGGCAGCCTCGGCACCGCCCCCTTCC